AAAACATATGTTGCCATAAAAAGAAATGAGAAATTACAACTTTTAGACTTTATTAGTTAGAATCATTAAGCGCGAATGACGTGCTTTCGTTATCAAAGTCAAGTGTCAGATTGATTAGTGAGGGGACGTAAATGTTGACATTTTAGTAAGGCTAGTGTTGTGCCAGTACACCGGCACAGTGTCTACTAGTTGTCTATCTAATCGACAGAGGAGGAGACGCACTGATATTTTCCATTCCTATGTGCTCCCTCCTTCACCAAGCTCTCCCTCTTTAACGGTTAGCTGGTAGATAACTCAATTGTTGAGTTAATCTTGCCTTTTTATAACTTTTTGCAATTTTTATATTGTTTAAAAAGTGTGTACAATAAATAATAAAGCCAAAGACAGAAAAGGGTGGGAAGGGTAAAAAGATCAATTTAGGCATCCTGCACGCACTCATCGGACTGTAGTTGGAAGGAGATCGCATATGAGCCGTATGTTCTCTGTGCTCGTGTTATTTCACAGCCTAACAAATGATTGTTATACGAATAGGCCTCGAACATTTATTGTTGCTGGCTTGTACCACTGTTAAAAACCTACCGCCCGACCGATTCTAATCACCACTTATCATGGTGGTCACTTGGTTTTTCACTGTGGCAAAAATATTGTTTATAATACGTCATTAAAAATGCAGACAACTCACGAATTGCTCATTTGTGGTCTCCAAATATTACTTGATTTGAATCATGCTGTATACAATCGCAAAACAAAAATAAAATTTTATTTACAGTTATTTTTACCTGTTTAGTGGTCATCATTAGGTCACTATAAATCCACAATAAAGAGCTCGGATCCCACCCTAAGTTAGGGGTGACCAGGCCATAGTCAACCACGCTAGCCCAGTGCGGGTTGACTTCATACATATTGAATTTCTTCTCAAATATGTGCAGGTTGCATCACTGATAAATGTACATATGTAAATCGGAAATCGAAAAATACATTAGTAAATGACGGGATTCGAACCCAGGACCTGCAGATTGCAAGTCATGTGCTTTAATTGACCGTAGTAGTGGTCACCATTACTAAAAATTGTATTATTATTCATAATCAAAGATTTTTTTTATTTTTTATTACACATTAACCTTTACTGTGTCAAATTATACTCTTATTTATTAAAAATTGGTATAAAGTAATCTTTTTATCTATAATGGAATAGTTTTTATTTCTAAAACTCTGTTTTTTTTTGTCTATGGGCAACCCTCACTTCGCTATTTCAGCGATTTCAGGTGGCCGCTCGCTCGTTTGCCACCTTATCATATAAAAAAAAGTATGAAGTCTACTTATAACTACTTTTTTTTTCAGAGGGGAATGCTTTATGCATACTCCTCGCCCCGGGGGGGACGCGGTAGTTATGTGGGATTCTCCTCCATAGCGGAGGCGACCCACTAAACCCCTCTGTTCCTCCAACGCATCGGGACGGGACCACGGGCACGCTTTCGCTCTCGTCCGCGGCCCTACTTATAACTACTACTACTTTTGTTTCATGATCCATTATTAAAGTGAATACAGTATTAAAATGTTAAAATTAGTTAGTCAAGGATTAAAATTGTTTGTTCGTTGTTACTAAGTCAATTGGTATTATTATATTCAAGGTTGTTTTATAAGGTAATTAATTATTATTTAGGTTACCCAGTTAATTGGATTTCATGATGTAATAATCAAGTTATACAGGGCCGGTTTTAGTATTTCCGGCGCCCTGGACGAGATTTTTGCGGCGCCTTTTTTTACCTTTGACCTTTGGTAATTAAATCTTTCTTGTCCTGTCGCCTTCTTGTCTGCATCTAAGTCTAAAACACGTGATATCATTAATAAATAAATATCTTATAAAATACTAGTTCTCGCCCACGACACCGTCTGCGCGGTATTAATAAATTAATTTGTAACCTATGTGTTCTTTCAAACTATGTTCTATGTGTCGTCGAGCGAGCGAGATCCATACAGCTGTTCTGGAGCTACCTTCTAACAAACATACATCTAAACATTCGCATTTATAATATTAGTAAGATATAAATAATGTTATTATATCGAGTAGCAACAATAAACGTGAACATGTATATGTATATAACTAAATAATGTATAAATAATCCAGTATATATTTACTTGACAATGATTTATGACTTAGAAAATTACTTTATCTTACTTTTTATCTTACTAATATTATAAATGCGAATGTTTAGATGGATGGATGTATGTTTGTTTGAAGGTATCTCTAGAACGGTTGCATAGATCTCGCTGAATTTGGCATAGATGGGGAACATAGCCTGGAACACGTAAGCTAGTAATTATGTTTTTTAAGTCGCACGCGGATAGAGTCGTAGAGTTAAAACAGTTTTAATCTAATAGAGAAATGTGATCAATTTTTGTTATACACGTGACTATAATTCAACTTATTTTATTTATTTACTTTGTAGACTTTAAATTGGTATTACCTTCGTTATCAATAATCTAAAAAGTTTGGTTTATAAATACTCCGTCCAAAGACTCCGTCCGCGCGGAATTATAAACTTAATTAGTAGGCTGTGTGCTTCCAGACTATGTTCTACATCTATGCCAAATTTCACCGAGATCCCTTTAACAGCCTGACATCCATCCATACATATATATCTAAACATTGGCATTTATAATATTAGTAATTAGTAATCCATACTAATATTATAAAGCGGAAAAGTTTGCTTAAATGCGCTAATCTCAGAAAGTACTGGTACGATTTGAAAACATATTTTTTTATTAGATAGTCCATTTATAGAGGAACGCTTTAGGCTATATAACATAACGCTGCGACCAATAGCTTTTTTAAAAACCACACAGACAGAGTCGCGGGCGACAGCTAGTTAATGATAATAGTAAGATTTATTTTTACGACTTTTTTTTTATACAGTCAGAACCCAGCCACACCTGGATTAATATTCTTGACATAATATTTATGAACAATAAAAAAGCAATCTTTTATTTGTTTCACGGAATGGAAGGTTAATATCGTCTATTTATTACATGAGAAAAACAAGCTTCGCCCAGTCACTAGCCGGTGTCAGAGGTCTTGTGTGTTTACAAGAAAATTAAAAAATTATCATTTGTATAATTGATTGTTCTAACGTTATTAAAAATAGCTATAATTAATACCTGCACATATCTGAGAAGAAATTTAAAAATATGTGTGAGGTCAACTCGCAATTGGCCAGCGTGGTCGACTACGGCCTAGTCACCCCTAACTTTTTTAACAATGGTAGAGCCCGCTTTAACATCATCGCACGAATTGGCCCGGCTCGCCCGGTGAAATACCACCACCACACAGAAGACAGGCGTGAAGTGGAAGCAATTCCGTGTTTCGTCTGATGAGTGTGCGTCCCGGAGGCCTAATTGAGTCCTCTTTCGCTTCTCACCCTTTTTTTACTGGTCAGCGATTTCAAGTGGCCGCTCGCTCGTTTGCCACCTTAGGGTAGGCTCCGAGCCCTTCGAGTGGAACGTATAGTGAGCTGATGATGATAACTTGTTGCATATACATTAACTTTTGTTATAACTTTATCTCACTATATATCCCCACTGAGGGGCTCGGAGTCTACCCTAAGTTAGGGATAAGTAGGTCACAGTCAATGGCCCAGTGCGAGTTGACTTCACATATATCTCAGAATTTCTTTGCAGATATGTGCAAAGCATAATGATGTTTCCTTCATCGTAAGAATGTCGGATAAATGTACATATGTAAATTGTAAAACACATTGGTACATTGTGGTATTCGAACCCAGGATCTGCAGATTACAAGTCCTTCAAGAAGCGAGCTTATCACCACCTCAAAGGCCGGCAACGCATCTTTCCTCTGGTATTTCTGATGTCCATGGGCGTCGTTGAACACCTCGGTGTTCCCGCTGCTCGTTTGCCACCTCCTGTTATTAAAAAAAGGTGCTTTAACCCCTGAGCCACCGATGCCTTCGCTGTTGTAAATGTTATAAATATTTATTAAAAAAATATTAAAAAAAACTATTATGTGTTCCAATTTTAAAATGAATTGACAATCGCTTTTTTTTTAATTTTTACATAATTATTTGATAGTGTTTTTCGAATAACAAATAGAGACTTTAAAATGTACTTATTATTTAAATTTTGTACTACTTTTTAATACTTGTAATCTTATGGTCCTTGTTCAGTCTTTGTTCGTACGTATATGTAAATAGTTTTTAGTCATTGTTAATTTTATATATATAAAAGAAAGTCGTGTTAGTTACACTATTTATAACTCAACGGCTTTATCGATATGGTTGAAAATTGGTGAGGAGGTAGCTTAGAGCCAGGAGACGGAAATAGGATACTATTTATTCTTTTTTATTTCGAGCTGCTTTTTTATTTAACTTACTAATATTATAAATGCGAATGTTTAGATGGATGTGTTGTGGATGGATGGGTGGGCTACACTAATTAAGTTTTTTTATGTATCTACACGGACGGAGTCGCGGGCGACAGCTGGTTTTTAATAAAAATTATTTACATAATACACATATGTATCCTAAATAATATAAATAAATTCCAGCTTGATACCTTCACGCGTTTCTGAGTAAAAGGGTCTTGACACACAGACAGATTAAAAATAAATACTATATGGGTACAGTTTTTTTTCCTTTCGAAGTACGGAACCCTAAAACCGCAAACTTAGTTTCATGTTTTTCCTTAATATGACGGTTTTTTAGAGTTAGCAGAAATAAAGTTTTTTTACCCGACTGACTCAGTAAGGTAATGTTTTCACGTGTAAGTCTTGTGACCGATTTACCGTGGGTTTCTAAGACATAAATAACAAAAGTTTAAAACATATTTTTATCTCGGTTTTGTCAAACATAATGACAGTGATGATATGTTTTATACACAGATATTGATCTCAGAAACCAACGATTAAACGAGTCAGATGCCATTCGTTATTACTAGTGTTGTTCTTTTTAATTTGCCTATAAATATTGTATTTTGTTTGTCACTAGGTATTCCATCTTCGTGATATACGTTGGGAGCGACCTCGGTTCCTGTCCAAATCATTCCTGGCTTTCGTCACCTTCAATGTGATCAGCTATTCGTTGCTAGCTGCAGAAGTACTTACCACGAATGTAGCTAATACAACTGCTGAGAAGAAGGTAAGAGTAATATTTTATTAAACACGAATCGTGGAGCTCTGAGACCAAAATCTCCATTTAAACTATATTGTTACGTTATAGAAGATGACCATGTTTTATACAGATTTTAGTCTCGATAACCATCTGTTAGAAGAACTAAGAACATTGTTTTGTATGGGCGTTTACAATCATAACTGTGTCGTCATCTTACTAATATTATAAATGCGAATGTTTAGATGGATGTATGGATGTTTGTTTAAAGGTATCTTCGGAACGGCTGTATGGATCTAGCTGAAATTAGGCATAGATGTTAGTCAAAGTAAATAAGTTTTATCCTGTTTAAATAATTATTAAAAACTGATTTTGTAACACGGCTATATATGTATTCGCAAATATTAAAATAGTTAAACAATCGAGTTAAAAATACAAAGACTCGCTTTTTTGCGGTAATGTGTCAAAATTTAAAACGATGGTTACATGACTTATTTATATACTAGCTATCGCCCGCGAATCCGTCCGCGCGGATTTAAAAACAAACATAATAAGTAGCCTATGTGTTCTTCCAGACTATGTTCTACATGTATGACAAATTTTAGTGTTCAGCCGTTCTGGAGATACACTCAAACAAACATCCATCTAAACATTCGCATTTATAATATTAGTAAGAATTTTACAATATAAAAGTTGGAGATTATTTATTGATTAAAGAAAAAAATGCTATAACAAGTTTTATAACTTAACTTTATTATAAGCATCAAATCAGATGGGTGTTTTTGACTTATCTTAAGGTAGGCGGATAGGCCTATTAAATCTATTCTACATGTATAAAAGAAAGTCGTGTTAGTTACACTATTTATAACTTAAGAACGGCTTTACCGATATGCCTGAAAATTGGTGAGGAGGTAGCTTAGAGCCAGGAGACGGACATAGGATACTATTTATTCATTTTTTTTTTCGAATGTATGCCTTGAAGAGCTGCTTTTTATTTAACTTACTATTATAAATGCCAATGTTTAGATGGATGTGATGTGGATGGATGGGTGGTCTTCACTAATTACGTTTTTTTATATATCCACGCGGACGGAGTCGCGGGCGATAGATAGTGTCTTCTAAATAAGATAATTTGATTAAACGACATCGTGGGTGTAGTAGACCATTATTTGACCTCATGGTAATTGTTGTTATTGTCCGACTAACAAGAAAACGCAGTCCAACCTTGATAAACTAGAGTCCAAGGACTACGATATTTTATGCTTGTTTCTCTTTCATCTTATCGAAGTCGCCCGTCGGGAGCGGACAATGACTCTCGGTAATATTTAAATTACCGGTCATAAGAATACGATTTACAAAAAAAAAATCATCCTATGAATATAGAGGATAGATATCTCTAGGAGGAGAGATATCTCTATAAGGAATGTTTTTATTTTTAAACTAGTTGTCGCCCGTGGCTCTGGCCGCGCGAGTTTAATAAAATGTTTATAGATAGCCTATGTGTTCTTCCAGACTATTTTCTACATTGATAACAAATTTCAGAAAGATCCATACAGCCGTTCTGTAGATACCTTCAAACATCTATTCATCTTAATATTCGCATTTATTTTATTAGTATGATGATGGTGGGTGAGATTTGTCTTATCTAGGTTTGACTGTTTATCCGTACTATTAGGACAGCTTTAGTCTAAACTGTTTTACTGATTTTAAATATTATAATTATAATATATATAGCGCTCATACTGATGTTGTTAAAACCTTAAAATTGTTACAATACAGTGACCAAGTCTTGTTATTATTAAAATAAATATTAAAGCTTTTTATAAACGCACTAAAGAAATATCTAGGTGACTACATTCATTATTGCTTATGTTCAAATATTACGTAATTTAAGTGCTCTTTATTAAGTACGTATATTCGGATCGTAATAGATCGATTAGCTGTCCGACTACGTCCGCGAGGTAATCAAAATCTTAAGTAGCCTATGTGTTCTTCCAGACTATGTTCTACATCTATGCCAAATATCAACGAGATCCATCCAGCCCTACTATTCCATAGTGTTAGGGTTCACTAATTGTGCGGCCAATACTTTGAGCTATCAGGGAGAGGGACGGAAAGTTATCGAGAGGTGGGAGATAGGAGGAGGTCGGTTGGACATTCGGTCATCGAGCTGTTGAAGTGGAAGGTTGTGGCAAGAGAAAATAAATTAGCGATATATCTGGTTTTGCTTCAGCTAGACATTATGAAATCTAGATATAGTTCTTTATATATGTGCGTCTTATAATAGTAAATTGAGGTTATATGTTTTGTTGCAGAATTTCTACCAGCACGTCTTCAACGGTTGCTACGCTGTGCTTCTTTTTATTGTCGTCATATTCTTCCTCATTTATGGGGTTGAAGTTTACTTTAAGGTAAGTTACAAGTAATATTATCATCATGATCGACTCGTTATACGTCTATACTAAGGGGTCGGAGCCTTCCATAAGTCAGTGGTGACTAGGCCATAGTCAACCGCCCTGGCCCATTGCGAGTTGACTTTACAATATTTTCCTCACCTTTAGAGCATCGGATAAATGTATGTATTTTAATCGAAAATAGAAAAACACATTGGGATTCGTACCCGGGACCTGGAAAAACAGCACACCACAGGTAATAGCGAAGCGACCGTTGCCCATAAACAAACGCAATAGCATGCGATTGCCTACCTTTAATCGACGGAGCTGATGCACAGAAAGATTATTTTCCCTTCCTATACATCCCCTTATCCAGAAAATCCACTTCTACTTACCATCCTTTATAAGAAAAAGGGTAGGAAGGAAAAGAGTGCTATAATTAGAACGCAAGACCTTCATTTAAAACTGTACGTGTTTTAACAGCTTTACAATCAACTGTAACCATTCTCTACAAACCATAACAACAATGGAGTACAATTATTTAATAATTTCGCCAAGGCTACGATACCACAATATGATGCCAAGATGGTTTTATTGTCATGTCTAGAGCTCATCAGTTGCCGTATTAGAAGACTTTGGCACGTGTTATGTCCTATTGTTGTGGGAATAGCGAATTGTGTGGGCATATGGCATACGGGCGAGGTGACATCCCTAACATATACAATGTTAGGGATGTCACCTCGATGAGTTGATATTGTTAGAACCCATTTTATTAACACTAACTCTCGCCCGTAATCCGTTCGCGTGGAATTAAAAAAAACTTTCTTAGTAAATTAAGCCATTATTAATTAGAATCATTTGGCGTGAATGACGCGCTTTCATTACAAAGTCAAGTGTCAGAATGATTAGTGTGGGGACATAAACGTTGATATTTTAGTAAGGCTGGTGTTGCGACAGTAAACCGGTACAATGTCGGATTTTCTTCCTAACATTTTAGCGGGATCCGTTGAGCTGTTTTGGAAATCCCATCAAACAAACATCCATCTAAACATTCGCATTTATAATATTCGTAAGATTAACGAAAATCTGCTTAAAAATCTTACGAATAAACTTAAAAATTATTCGACTAATTTCAAAAATAGGCTACATAATAAAAAATGTATATTCTTTGCCATATATGTAAAGTAAAAACAGTTAGTCTGTCATATAAATTAGTGTACTTTGGTTTGTTTTAATTAAAACATATTTCAAACAGATGTTCTTCTCTTATATGGTGTATGATTAGTGTAATTGCGATGTCTAGTCATCTTGACTATTTTTAAATACTTGAACCACAGAAATAAAGCCACATGGCTAATTATTTTGATGTTTTGAATGTAAACCCAATATGCTATCATCATCAACCTGCCCTTATCCCTATCGAGGGTCGGCACAGTATGTACTACTCCTCCATACATCTCAATCAGCCGTCATATCCGAGTCTACCCCCTTCTTACGCATATCCTCTTTCACACAGTCATTCCATACTTTTTTTGGTCTTTCCCTACCCTTGATAAACCCAATATGCTATCATATTTTAATATAGTGTTCGGAAGAAAATCCGGAAATCAGCCAGTGTATTAATTCAGTCTTCACTCACTCACCTTACTAAAATGTTGACGTTTGTGTCCCATCAGATTCATTCTGTCACTTGACTTTGTAGCGAAGGCACGTCATTCCTGCCAAAGGATTGTTATTAATAAATAACTAAAAATAGATATAGATAGACATAGAAAACTAGTTATCTCCCGTGATTTTTCTGCTCAGGGGTTAGACAAAGTGAACTTCAAAATTGTATAGAACTGACGCGACAATCACGTGACATATCCAAAATTATTACCAGTTTTATACATTTTTGAAGTTCTTTATAGAATCGCTTCGAAGCGAATGCATTTTGTCCAACCCCCTGAATTTAAAAAAAAATAGTAGTCTATGTGTTCTTCCAGACTATGTTCTACATCTATATCAAATTTCAGCAAGATCCATACAGCCGTTCAGGAGATATCCATGAAACCAAACATTAGTTTTTATAATATTAGTAAGATATGTTTGTGTAAACACGGTTTAGGTTTTGTTTTGTTCGTGAATTATCAAAGAAGCCTCATATCAACTGACTCGTATGTTTGTCATGGCATGTCATTTGTTTTATGTTGCAGCTCCGTGGTGAGTTCCTGAAGGAGACAAAAGTATGTACAATCATCTCCCCACGACCTGGACCGTCTAGTGCCGACGATGACGACGTGCAGGATACACTCGTCACAAAACAAGTCAGTTTATTTTATAACTAACTGCCGACCGCGACTCCGTCCGAATTTTTAAAAATCCTAATTAGTAGCCTATGTGTTCAAGACTATGTTCTATGTTTATGTTAAATTTCAGCGAGATCCATTGTGCCGTTCTGGCGATACCTTCTAACAGACATCCATCCAAACATTCGCGTTTATATTATTAGTAAGATTGTTAGGTTAGGATGTTTGTTTGAATGCATCTCCAGAACAGCAGCATGGATCTCGCTTAAAGTTGGCTGAAGTAGAACATAGGCTAGAAGAACACATAGGCTACTAAGTTTTAATACCGCTCGGATGGAGTCGCGGGTGACAGCTAGTTATTAATAATTTTGTTTAACTTTAGTAATACTATTCAATATCTTTGCTTTTTAAAGTTTAGTTAATATGTTAGTTAGCAGGCGGGTGCTTGATTATATGTTTGATATATGCATAAATAAAAATATAAGGTCAATAGCAGATCTATGAAATAGGAACATAATAATTATTATATAGCGGTCAAGGTAAGCTGCTATTTTAGTTATCTCCACTTCCGATTCATTCGGTCCCGATTAGCATATCAAATTTGACGATAAATATCCTAAGGCTATTAATATAGCTTTGTTTATAAAATTTTTGATTTAGTGAATTTAAAAGAGATGAATTTAGACTCCATATTATTATTTTAAAAAAGGAAATTTCTACTTTATGTCCGTTTTCTGTGTGGTCGTGTTACTATACCAGGCGAGCAGACCTTCCTTATCATCGTAAATTATTACGTGACATGACATGATCGACGTTGGTGGAGGCGCCTACATCAAATCCGCTTTCCCATTCTTTACCTTATAAGAAAAGCATGAGAAGGGAAAGAAGACAATTCCCCTGGCTGGCACCACACTCATAAGACGTAACCTAGAATTAGTTTCACTTTACAGCTGTCTTATGTATATTTATGCGTGGTTGCAGGGCATACAGACGGACCTGGCGGATCGCGACGGATCCGTGGACCTGCGCTCAGTGGATCTGTCGCAGCTGCACCAGTCGCGTGTTGGCCTCGTCAGCCAGGCGCTCATGCTGATACTGATCGCTGGCTTCCTGGCCTCGGAAACACTCAGCGAGTTTTGGAAGACCAAGTTAGTAGGCTTTTTTTACTCGGATGTTTTGTTACACTTACTTCAACACAAGTTGCTTAATTGCCGGACAGACAAACCAGGTTTTCCGGACATTTGGGTAGAAAGGCCGGACAACTTATATTGAGCAACCGTCAGTCACCTCTCCTCGCTTGGCCATTCCTTTTTGCGAAATGTAAAAAGCCGGACAACAAGGATACGGTTTTTTTAAGGCCGGACACCCAATCAAAAAGCTTACCTTAGACTTTATCCGGACGCTTGGCAACGGTAGCACCAATAAATTTATTCAGATGGATAAGCGAGAGGTCAAGGGTCCGCGATATTCTCGCTTATAGAGGTTTCTTATTTAGAGGTAATATGAAGTACATTTATTTACAATAGATTGATGGGTTGTGAAGGGGAAGTGGATTTGACTGAGGGTGGGACGCAAAGATAGGGGAAATATCCTTTTTCCGTCCCTCCTTCATCAACTAAAGGTAGATGCACCTGGTATTACGGATATCTATGGGTAGGTGTTAAAAAAAATCGTATTGTTTGTATGAAGAGTGCCGGTGGTGTCACGCAACTGGCACGACGTGGTGTTCCGTCTGGCGGAGATCGGAGTCGCGCTATGGTTCCCCTGCGTGCTGTGGAACTCAATGGCTCCGGAGCGGCTGTGGCTGCTCAACCCGCGCCGTCTGCTCGCCAGGCAGCTCGATGACGCCAAGCTCGCTGACCTTCTCGCACATCATCATGATGCCAAGGTTAGTAATAATACTAAAGAGTGGGCGTTCGTGTATTGAATTCTAGGTTCCTACAAATTTATATTTTTAGTATTGATTTTTAAATATATAAAACTTTTAGTAATTGAAGGAGTATGGCATAACAAATTAGATTGGCCGGTTAAAAAATACAAACGAATTAAAAACTTCCTCATTTTTGAAGTCGGTTAAAAAAAACCGATGTATGTTTGACGATTTGCTAAGCGAATAAATTATTTGAAATGCCTTATCCAATAACTTTGATTTGATTTTTAACCTTTTTGACGCGATGTTTTAAATGTGTTTTGGATTCCATTGTTGGCTTTTAGTGTAAGGTCGTCAGTCTTCAGCTTGTATGCTTTTGTTCTCTTGTCGAAAATGTTATTGCCTTGCTTGTTAGGTATATTATTGGTAAACAGATACAGTAACAGTAGTAAAGGCCGCTTTAACATGTTCGCACGAATCGGCCCGGCTCGCCCGGTGAAATACCACGACCACACAGAAGACAGGCGTGAAGTGGAATCAATTCCGCGTTTCGTCTGATGAGTGTGCGTCCCGGAGGCCTAATTTAGTCCTCTTTCCCTTCCCACCCTCTTTCTCTTAAGGAAATGATGGGAAGTGGAAGTGGTCTTTACGGATGAGAGGATGCATGGAAGGGGAAAATATTTTCTTTATGTGCATCCTTTCCTCCGTCGATTAAAGATAGGCAACGAATATGCAATTGCGTATGTCTATGGGCAACGGCCACTTCGCTATTTCAGCGATTTCAGGTGACCGCTCGCTTGTTTGCCATCTTATGAATTAAAAAATAATCCTGTCTGGTAATTTCTTTGTATTGCTAAAGTAATTTATAATACATGGAACCAATCTTATAAAACAGATTTGGTAGTTGTTTTTAATGTTTGTCGTCCATTGGTTTATCGTGATTGGAAAATTCTGTGTAAAGCGTTTGACAACAATGATCATCGGAAGACATGTCTTATTATTCATTCAGGTGCAAAGTTTCATTTGTTTATATATTTTTTTGTTTGTAATTCATTGGGATTTATCTGTTCTTTTAAATAAAAAGCTTTTAAAAGCTTTATTTTCATATAAATAGATTTTTTTTGTTAAGGATTACCTCAAGGTATCAATCTCGGTCCTCAGATATTGATGACATTTTGGAACTTGAAATGGCGCGGATGGGCGTTGTTGGTTGTAGAAATGTTTAATTACTGGCAATCTTTGGTCTGGCGAGTTGTTTTCAATGTAGTTGTTGCTGCTAAGTATTTGGAAGGTCTACAGGATGTTTCTTTGATATCTAAAAAGGTAAGTTTTGAGTGAAAATTTTCGTGATTAATATTTCTTGTTTTAATGTTACTCTCGAAAGGTAGACGTAGCATTTTCTTTAAATAGATTATTTTGGACTAACTTTTGAAACGCAACTTGGCTACTAAACCAAGTTTGGTTTAGTAGCCAAGTCTTACTTCTTACTAATATTATAAATGCTATTGTTTAGATGGATGTATGTTTGTTAGAAAGCATTTCTACAACGGCTCAATAGATCTCAGTGAAATTTAGCATAGAACATAGGTTACTTATAAAGTTTTTTGTTTAATAGTTGTATAATATGAATAATTTTGTATTTTAGAATGTGGAGACGGACTCTTTGGTGGGCAGTGTGGGTTCAGCTCGCGACTGCTGGATCTGCTACGACGGGTCGCGCAACGAGCCGCTCATCCGACCCTGTCGCTGCACTGGTGATGTCTCCGCTGTACATCATGACTGTCTGCGTCGCTGGCTCATTGAGGTACAGAATGTCTACTCTGAACATAAATTATACTGACACACTTCGAGACCCGATAGGCTCATCAGCTCACGGAGCCTACCCTAAGTGAGTAACTGGGCCATAGTCAATGCTGACCCAGTGTGGGTTGACTTCACACATATCTTTGAATTTCTTCTCAGATATGTGCAGCATCACGATGTTTTCCTTCACTCTAAGAACGTCGAATAAATGTACATATGTAAATCTGAAATTGAAAAACACATTGGTACATGACGGGATTCGAACGTAGGAGCTGTAGATCGCAAGTCAAGTGTTTTAACCCCTGAGCCACCGACCGATGGGCAAAAGTTAAGAGTCACGAGTTACTTTTATTAGTGCAGCTGTCATGTTTTTAAAGTCATTTTCTATGCTTATTTAAGTTTCGCATATTTTCTGCCAGAACTAATTGCGACAGTGGCGCCCCTCATCAACTTAGATGTCTTGTTGTTTGACTAATTGTTGAAATAAAAGACACAAAAGAAATTCTGGGTCAATATCCAAAACTGTCATAAGATTTGTAAAGAAAAACGAAAATACTAGATGAATCAGTTATTATTTAAAATTATTTCTTCCAGAGTGCAACCACACCGGACGGCTTGAAGTGCAAAGTGTGCAACACGCCTTATATTGTACAAAAGACAAACAGGTCAGTGGATTTCTTTAATTACATTTGCATATAGTAAAATCCTTAGTACTAGTAAATTTGACAATTTTGTTCTAAATGAACACTTAACAGAGTGTTACAATCACTAAGGGTTACAAATTGACTAATTGATGATCCTGAGTGCCGCAATCAAAGGCTTAAAGTGTTTTAGATGTATATTTAGAATAAGTAATCTACAGGAAAGGTTTAGTGATCACTTAATGTTCACTTTGGGTAGTAAATTAATAACTAAGGGTTATCTTAGTGAAGATTTAAGTATTTAAGTATTAAAATAGATTGTTTTGTATGTCAGAGTGGAGTGGGAGCGCGGATTCACTTGCACACACTGGACGCGCACTGCACTGGCGGTGGCGGGTATGTGCGGCGCTGGAGTTGCCGCCTGGCTGCTGGTTCAGGTGTTCCCCTCCCCTGTGGTGCGCGTGCTCTGCGCTGGTGCAGCTCTCCTCGTCTGCTACGTCGCCATCAGGTATCATCATATATCTTTGAATTTCTTTCACGATGTTTTCCTTTAAAGTAAGAACGTCGACAGTACTTTTGTCAATCTATAAACATTGGTACATGGCGGGATTCGAACCCATGATCTGCAGATTACAAATCAAGTGTTTAACCCTTCAGCCACCGACGCTCTTAAGTCTAGAGAAAGAAAAAATCGCACGAGTCGTTGAGCAGAACCTAATGTTAGGTGTGGCAGCGCAAAGGGTTACAAATAGACTGAGGATCTATGCACAATAATTTTCTATTTATTTATTTGATATTTGTATAGAAATAACTATTTAATTTAAAAAAAAAAGATCTGACTCGTCAAAATCTGTTTACTTGCAATAAATGTATTTAATAAAATATAATTTTGTTTTTTTTTTAAATTTCAGATTCCTAAGCATGAACACAGTAATAGCGTACCAACGTGCCAAAGTATCCTCTCTCAGGATAGTAACAGAACCGCTCGCCGAGTCTCAAGTCAACGACCAGACACAACTCTGCACCATCAGCAAAACGGTTACAGTTGAAATAGCGTCAAAAGCAGTACTCGAGCAAGCGCTTAAAGGAGACGTTAAAAACTAACGCTATAACGTTATAGCAGTGTTATCTGTGAACAGTGTTTGTGAACAGTGCAAGCTGATGAAAAAATTAATCCGAGTGAAATCATACGAAATTACGAATAAACTTTATGCCTAACATATCAGGCTAACGGCCTATAACTTATAAAAACGTTATTTTTGTTTACCGTTTTAACGTTATTACTACGATTCAAAGTTATAACGTAATAACCGTTATATCGTTATAACGGTTATAACGCTATAATCGTTGTAACGTATAACGTTATTCGTGTAAGCTGCCAGTGTAATGGCAATGTATTAAGACTTTAAAAAAATATAAAATTCGAAAAAAGAATACTGATTGTTGCCAAACAAATTACGTGTTTAGTACAAAAGAAAAGTGATCTTTTGTGATGAAAGTATGCGTTCAGATATTATATTAGTATTTATTAAACTTTTGTGTAATTAAAAAAAAGTTCTCAATAGATTTTAGATACATAAATCATATAGATCGACAAACTTATCTGACCCGGTGGACATAATTGACAAATTAATCATGAAAGTGACATTAGACTTTAGCTGTCATATCATTTTCTGTGCCCAAATTTTTATGTATTTTCTGCCAGCTTTACTATCGTCCTCGGCGAGATCTGTACAGCTTACTTTTCTTTTTTTAATAATGCCTATTGGAAGAATTATAAGATCTGTCGCGCTCCTATCTGAATAACGCAAAGGGCAATCGCCCAACCTCGCCCTGCCATAAATAAGGCCTTACTATAGCGTCACCGGGTCAAATAAATTTGTCTCACTAAATAATTCTTTGAAGTTTGTCAAAATTTTTATGGTAAAAATAATACTAACTACTGAATAAATCTAGATGTAGATTTTTCTTTAATATTTCAACTAGTTTTTTCGGAATGTGAAAATATTTAAAGTTTTATTTTAATCGCAAAAAAAAAGGTAGTCATCATAGTAATTTTTTATTGGTATTTTTTTATAAGTTTGTAAAGGCTATGATTTACTTTGTAAGATGAATTTATTAAATATAATCAGATTTTATAATTATTGATAGTTTAAATAAATTTCATAATGTAAATTCCATTGTAGAAATAAATTTACAAAAATTATATCAAAGATTGATTTGAAAAAATACAGTTTTTAATATATTTTTAACAGGTTTTTCGTAAATGGAACTTATATATATGTGAAACAAAATATCCAAGTATTAAGCTATAAATCTTTACAAGCGATTCATTTGTTCAGCCATTAATCGCCCACTGTTGGGCATAGGTACCCAAAGATCGCCACAATGACCGGTCTTGTCCTACCTGCATCCAGGAGGCTCCCGCAATCTTGACCAGATCATCGGTCGACCTCTCCGTGGCTGCTACTCCAGGACTTTGAGTCTTGTAGGATGATTTCTATGTGCTAGAAACTCGGATTAGAGAGAAACCTTCTTTAGACTCTCGCTTGTATATACTAAACTGTCAATTCGATTTATAAAATCTGATTATAAACAAAAATCATTAACTTTTTCTTTAATATTGAGATTCAAAGGTTTACTCTCAATTAGTATGTAGATGCGTAACTTGGAACGTAGATGCGTATTTTTTTAAAGTGACATTTCAAATTCATTAGTGACGCTATATTTCTATATACGTAAAAATGTAGATTAAAAAAAAGAAGCATTACGAGTGTTGTGATTAACTTTGATTATATAGAATTATTGTAATATTTAGCATAATCAAATAAAGGTTATAAAAATCCTATGATGGGTTGCATTTCTATGTTTGTTTTTTTTATTTCACGATGTTTCACAGATACAGAAGAAATATGTTATTAATCATTTATTGTCGATTTCTTGCATTTATAATTAAATAAATAAGAGTTGTTAAAAGTATTGACCCATTTTACAAGACTTTCAGACACTTTCGTATTATATTAGTAGAAATTCACAGATACCGAGTCTATTAGGAATATTTGCGATAAGCATTATCGACGTCTCTGTGCATCCTCTCCTCCGTCGATTAAAGGTAGGCAACGCATATGCAATTGTGTATGTCTATGGGCAACTGTCACTTCGCTATTTCAGCGATTTCAGTTGGCCGCTCGCTCGTTTGCCATCTTATGATATAAAAAAAACAAATCTAATACAAATATTATCGATGACGTTACGAATACTTTCTCGCAAATTTTCGTGCTAAGCCCACAGATATTTTCAATCATATGATTTTTCTTAACAAGTAACAATAAATTTTTAGATTGAACTCTCGATAATCATACATTAAAAATATTTTTAGATTCGAATAAGATATGAGGTTAATATAAAAAGTGCCAAAGAAATAACATTCAAAATACTGATATCTCATTGATATGGAGATTTAAAAATCGTAAGAAATTAAGGCACCAGTTTTTAAAATACTTCGCTTTTAAGCCTTTCATTCGATATCTAAAGGTAAGTCTTGTTTGACCTTGAAAATTAAATAGTCTTATTTAGTTACTCAAATGGTATGGATGGATGGATAAAAGATTGTCATTTCTATATTAGGTATTACTATTAAATATATTGAAGCAGTGTCGCAAATCCAAACGTTTAAAAGTATTATTGTTTTCAAATATTTAGATCGCTCAAGGTTATAAGCGTGTACTCTCCTGCGCAACTCGCGTGAAGTTTAGAGTCGCTAAGATATGTGAAAAACATATATAGATTGTTATTTATATGTCAAATATTACTGATTCTACATTAAAAGAGGGAAAAAATATTTTAGGACACTTAGGTAAACCATAGTTAAAGCATCGATCACAGAGTATTCAAAAACAATAATTTCAAAGGATCCTTATAAATGTCATTCATAAAAACCACAGATAAAAAAAATCTTAACATTATAGTAAATGTAATAGTTGCTAAAGGAATATATTTTTTTACACAAAATACAGGTCAATTTAAATATCTTCATTATTAGTTTATTAGTAAGTTTATTACTATTTTATCTTTGTAGATTGTTGAAATTAGAAAAATTAGTGCTGTAGTTATATAAAATATTTTATCTGTTATACGTCAATTATTTCATGAAACTGTACCAACTGTCAAGCGTTTAGAGGGAAAAATGGGCGGGAAAAAGTTTTGTTTTTTCGTAGAAAGTAGTGATTTATGAAAAAGGTATAAGGAAATTGCAAAAACAATATTACTTTGGTTTATTCTAGTTGATAAAATAATATATATTATTCTTTAATTTTGATTTAATTATATACGTATTCTAGCTTTTTTTATGTAAAATTATATTTTGCATTACATTTTCTTTGTTATTATTTTAGTCATTACAAATAAGATACTTTAAACAAAAAAAAACAAGCGAAATAAAAAGCAATTTTAAGAAATAAAAAAAATTGTTCGATTTTGTTCTATTTTATTATTTTAATCTATTGAAAATTAATTCGTTTATTATTAGTATTTTTTTTTTAATTTAAAAGTAAAATTGTATCAAAAAGGATTTCTTAGAAAGGCGTGAAGTTAAATGTTCAGCTAACATGATGTAAATAAATGCAGACTTTCTGATTTATTTTGTATATCTTGATCATATTTCTTGAAGGAAAATATAAAAATATAACAATTTTATTGTAGTTTTATTTAATATCCTTATTATAAAGGTTGTGAAAAATTGTAAGTTTTTGAACGGAAGAATTAAATTCGCTTCCCACTTATAATGGCGAAAATCAAATAGGCACAAATAACCACGGTTTATAGCCAATATATTTATAGAGGTTAGGGTTGTCGGTACATGTATTACCACCTCAATATTAAGCGTTAATTACAAAAGAAAGGTAAAGGGTAGAAAAAAAATGTGACAGGAACTACAACCTTTTTCTTTGTCGATAAGGTTTAATTTCCTTTTAAAAACTACTGCATTTTCGTAAAATATACGATTTAAATGACGTATGTATTTTTTTTAAGAAAAAGCCTGGCTGGAGTGACTGCCAGTGCGCGAGTCAAAATAAAAAAATAATAGCCCGCAAGTGATGACGTAGATTCGGCTGAACACTCATCGATTTTGCATCTGGCAAAAGGCCAATAAGGTCAAAGTATTTATTAGTTAAAAAACTTTAGATGTAAATATTAGTTTTGAAATCACTCAAAACTTTTGTTATCTATATTTTGATGATCAAGGTTTTTTTTTTATAAAAGGAATCATAAAAACGAACATGCCTGGGTAAGTTTCGGAGAATATTAAATTTTTTTAAATAACAATTATTACATTAAATTTGTGTACGAATTTGCTAAGGAAATAAATTAAAGAAATTATTTTTACATTTATAAAATATATATACATTTATAACTATTCAAAAATGTTTAAGGAAAATGTTAATTTAATTTTTACAAACTTCTTTTATTATATCGCCCTGATAAGAATATTTTTGCCCTACCTTATATTCAAACTAGCTGTCTGAATTTAAAAAAAAACATAATTAGTAGCCTATGTGGTCTTCCAGACTATGTTCTATATGTATGCCATATTTCATCAAGATCCGATCAGCCGTTCTGGAGATACCTGCAAACAAACATCCATCCATCTAAACCAGTGGTTCCCAAACTTATTTTGTCTACTTCCCACTTTGAGAATAAATATTTTTTTAGCACCCCCATATTTTCACATATTTAAAAACCACTATAACTTCAAAATAATTAATTTTTGTGACCTATATATGTATATTAACTTTTACTATAACCCGCAACTTGAGACCTGCAGCGCCCACAAGGAGGCGTTATCGGACACTTTGGGAAAGACTGATCTAAACATTTGCATTTATAATATTAGTAAGATATAAAACATCTTAAGATTTTTCCTCTCTTCTACGTATTTCGACACTTTACAATTTGTCTTGAGTCTAAGTAAATTACGAACGGGGGATATTCAAGCTTCGATGGTGACAATTATAACAGCTATAATGTTGGTAACGGAGGCTATCGGTCATCACATTTGGCGATCTTTATTGATTAGTGCCGCTAGATGGCAGTCGTTGGCGGAGAGCCAACGTAAAATCAATAACATGCACTCCGCAGACAAAAGCTGCACTTAATGAACCACTTATTTCATTGAATTATACTTTTACGTGCTTAAAAAGAAGTTGAAAGTTATTTTACGTTAAACTTAATTAGTAGGGTATATTATAGGCCATTTTTTGTTTCCAACGCTGACGAAGTCACAAGCGATAGCTGGTTTTAAAATCTTCTAATTAGTAGGTCTTTTAGGGGCTAGATACAATTCAAAACAAATTACGTAACAAAACGAATTCTATTTTCAAAATAAGTTTATCTTTCACTTGATATTATCGTGAACAGTATTTTAACGAGGGACCGAAACCGCATTACACAAATTTCCGCTGAAAATGTACTGCTATAAATAGATATGACGTACGAAAGTTCAAGGGCTTGCCTCACCTTAACTGTTTTACGAACATCTTTAAAATAGTTTCTAGACCAATAATTTAATTATCATCTAAACGGCTTAGAAGCTGTTATCCAACAAAAGTGTTTTTAATTAATCAACTTATTCAAGTTGATTAATTAAAAACGAATATAGTCGTACCTTTATGACAGGAAAGAGATACGAATCGAATCAACAAAAGAGAAAATATTTAAAAACACTCGTAATTATTAATATTTATTATAATACTTAATATATCTTTATATATATAATTCTTCTGTGAGTTTGTATGTCACTGAACTTCTCTCAAACGACTGCATCGATTTTGATGAAATTTTTTGTGTGTGTTCAAGGGGATCTGGGAATGGTTTAGATTCACAATTTTGTCCGCTGGACAATGTTTTTTTAATTAATTTTTAATTTATTAGTAGTTGTTGATTTTGGAATGTTTTACATTGGATCCGACAGACGGCGCTACCATCGCAGTGTCAAATTGTCAGACAACGTCTGTCGGGTCCGCTAGTAAGTATTATAAAATATTTAATACTCTATGTGAAGTCGCATCAAGTTTTTGGCCTCCAGTTTTCCGTCATTTCAGAGTTCACTCCCTTAGTTAATAAAATGAGCAACATGGCCGC